TTGTGGTGGTAGTAGTAGTTGTGGCTGTTGTGGTGGTAGTAGTAGTTGTGGCTGTTGTGGTCGCCTCAGCGGCAATGGCGGTGATGATGACGGTAGTGATGATGACGATGGTTGCGACGATGATGATGATGATCCTAGGGATGATGATGATGATGATGATTTCGGTGGTGACGACAACGATGACGTCATAGGAAATTGTTTCAACACTGCCACGCCAGGTAAGGCTGAGTTCTGTCATTTTGGAAGTAAGAAACAGAAAAGATTGTTAACATTAGTAGCAGTAGTAATAGTAGTAGTAGTAGAAGTAGCAGTAGTAGTAGTAGTAGTAGTAGTAGTAGTAGTAGAAGTAGCAGTAGTAGTAGTAGTAGTAGTAGTAGTAGTAGTAGTAGTAGTAGCAGCAGTAGTAGTAGTAGTAGTAGCAGTAGTAGCAATGATAATAATAATAATAACAATAACAATAATAATATTGTTATAAATTTTACTATGCAGATATGGCAAAACAGCTGCCTAAAATATTGACGATGAATGTTTGTTTAACGATTTGCTGAACAAGTAGAGAACATATGTTAGTGAGTTACTTATGGCGGTGATGAATGTGATATATTTTATGATGACGATGATGATGACGATGATGATGACGATGATGATGACGATGATGATAACAATGACGGTTGTGTTGATAATGATGGTTATAATGAAGATAGCAGCAATGTATCAATATATTCCACATGTATTGCAGCGCGTTTATGATTATAGCAATGATTAAAAATGGTGATCTTGAAAGGTTTCGACAATGATAAGATATCATGCTATAAGTTGCTTACAGTGATATGATACCATTTATATATAAGTTATTAACTAGGGGGGGATATAATGTATTATAAGTTGTATAGGATGATACAAAAACATTTAAAAGTTGCTAAAGATGATACTGTATCATGTTATAAAAGGTTGTTAACGACGGTATCATGTTATAAAAGGTAGCTAACGATGATACGATATCATTTATTACAAGTTGTTTACATATCATTATTCCTACGTCACATGGTTTGGCTTTCACGTCATAAGTTAGTCATTCTTTTTTTGTCTGTTTGTTTGTCGATCCATCTATCCCTCAATTAATCATTTAATCAGTCACTCAGTTGTGTTGAGAGAGAAAGAGAGAGAGAGAGAGAGAAAGAGATAAAAAAAGACAAGAGAGTGAAAGAAAGAGGAAGAGAGTAAGAGAGTAAGAAGAGAGCAAGAGTTAAGTGAGGCAAGTGTAAATAAAATGTCTTAATTGCGCTTTGCATCTGATGGTATAATATAACAGAGAAAAAAGAGAAAGAGAGAGAGAGCGAGAGAGAGAGGAGGAAGAGAGAATACCTAAACGTCATGTTAAAATTTGATCTAGATTCAAATATAGATATTGAGATAAAATTCAGAGAGAGAAAGAGAGAGAGAGAGAGAAAGAAAGAGAGTGTGTGTGTGTGCGTTACGTAATCAGTCAACAGGAAATTTTATCGAATCGTGCAAATATGTAAGTATGTACACACCACACACACACACACACACACATACACGCAAAAATTCATAAATACAAGCAATAATAATAATAATAATATTATTATTATTTAATAATTATAGTAATTAATAATATTAATAATAACGTTATTATTATTGAAAGACGAACCTCTGATCTTAGGAAACCGAATTGTTTGCACGCAGAATGTTGCCAAATAGTTTGTTGCTGCTGTTGTTGCTGTTGTTGTTGTTGATGATGATGTTGATGTTGGTGATGATGATGATGTTGAAGATGACTTGGGTCATGATACTGATAGCTGTCGTCAACATCGTCATGGTCGTCAAAATTTAATTTGTTTCTAATGTGAACACCGCGACTGTGGCTGCTATCATAGCCACTCCCATTGGGAGAGAGTTTCAGACGATGGTGATGATTTTGTCGTTGCTGTCGCTGCTGCTGCTGATTATTATTATTAAATTGGTCATGATATCGATTATGATGAGTCTGCCGTTGTTGTTGTTGTTGATGACGTTGTTGGTCGTCGTAGTAGTAGTATTCATCGTAATAATGATGGTGATGATTGTTAAGAAGATGATGACGATGGCGAAAAAGAAGATGATGATGATGATTGTTAAGAAGATGATGACGATGGCGAAGAGGGAGATGGTGGTGATGGTGACCATTAACTCGAGTGAGTTGTTGAGATATTTCGGAATTCGTAACTAAATCAGTCACGCTCGGACGAGCACCGCGATCATCATCATCACCCTCATCTCGATAATCATCATCATTGTCATCGTCAGCAACATCAAAGTTTTCTCCTCCTCCTCCTACTTTTCTTTCGTTCCGAATCACCATTGGTAACATTTCTAATCTATCTGGTTGCTAAGAATGACGATGATGATGATGACAGTGATGACGATGATGATGAATGATGACGATGATGATGCTGACGATGACGATAATTGAATTGACGATAATGATGATTATAACAACAATATCTATTATTAGTAATAATTGTGATAAAATTAACCCAATTAAATTATAAAATTTAACTCCAGTTTCACTGAACAATTTAAATAACTATAATATCAAAATAAAATTTTATCAAAAATTGTGCAAAAAATTTTGGCTAAAAACAAAACGGACAGAAACCACACACACACACACACACACACACACACACACACACACACACACACACACACACACACACACACACACACACACAACACACACCAAACCGCACAGCATGTTCAAGTCACGGGAGCAAGATTCCACCGCGTGAGGCACTATGAACGCCTTGCAAGCCATCATTTGGCCAGTAAGCTACCGAGCTACAAACACACACACACACACACACACAAACAAGCACACACACACACATACAGCAAGTCATCGAGGCGAAAAATCGTTCTTTATAATAATTACGGTGCCCACATCAAAGATGCAAGATGTTGTTATGTGGTGAATTTATTCAGAAGTAAAGTGTGTGTGTATGTGTGTGTGTGTGTGTGTGTGTGTGCGCGTGTGTTGCTGTGGTGTAATTGTCCTCTTAATGTTTTTGTTCGTTCGTTCATTGGTGTATCAACTACTTGTTAACGTTCAATTTCGAGTAACATGGATAAAGTCACAACCTATAAATTGAAAATAAGAAACATCACACGCACACACACACAAACACACACACAAACTCACACACACATACACACAAACTCACACACACATACACTTTTTATATGCTATAAGTGGATCTTCATCACATTAGGCTGTGCTATATTGTGCAGCGCTGCGTTAAGCAGGCATTACACACAAACACATATACATACACACATACATACATACATAAATCCATACGAACACACATCCATACATACACACATCCATACATACATACATACACACATACACATACACACACACGTACATACACACATACAAACTGCCTAACTAACTTAATTCCTTTTGATGTTATATCTCGTTTCGCATTACCGGCTAACTATACTTTTGTTATATCGAAAATATGTATGTATGTATCTTTGTATGTACGTATGTATGTATGTATGTATCTTTGTTTGTTAAAACCAAAACATGATGAGTGACACTGAACCGTCAAACGTCTTTGTATGTATGTATGTTTGTATGTATGTATGTATCGACTGTCGGTAAATGCCTGGTTTAGTTTTAATTAGATGTATTAAAATACAGTGGTCCGCACAAGTGTAACTATCGCTAAGTACACGTGCACCGAACGTCCGGGTAATTGTTATAATCTGATCATAAGATGAGGGGTTGTGATGGCTGATGCGTTTTTTGTGCTTGCTCGTGTGCGTGTGTACGTGTGTGTGTAAATGCGTTTTGATGCCTGCTTGTGTAGGTGTGTGAATGTTTGTATGCTTGTGACTTCTTGTGAGTGTGAATGTGTGTGTGTGTGTCTGTGTGTGTAGGTTTGTGTGTAACTAGGTTAATAAAATCTGAAAGGAATAGAAACGAAAATTAATAAGCCAAAAATCGCATACGTGTAATCAATTCATTCATCTCTGTCCATCCAATAAACAAAACGTACAAAACTTACACTCGTACATACAAACATGCACAAATATGAACATACATACATACAAACATGCACACATATGTAGATACCTACAAACATACACACATACAAACGTACGTGACGAATTTTACTCACAAACAAATATAAACACCGATATGAGTACATCAAAAAATAGACGAACATCTTGTTAAAATATACAAAACACATCCATATAAACAAAAAACATTAAAGAATGCACACGTACGTAAACAAACAAACACAGACACACACATGCACACGTACACACACACACAAATGCGTAGGTGATAAATTGTGATTCGTTTGAACTAGGTGAACTTATCGTGACCTACCTTTCATATTGGCCACCATTAAATGAACCTCAAATAAGCATTTTATTGGCATTTAATAACGCGTTATGTCTTACTATGTTTGTTTTATTTCGTCTGATTTATACGTTCGTATGTTTTGTATGTTTGTGTGTGTGTGTGTTTATGTATGAACGTGTTTGTGGTCCTTTGTGTGTGTGTTTGCTTGCACGTGTGTGTGCGCATGTATGCCTGTATGAATCAAATTAAAACACTGAATGGATTTCTATTCAGATATGTGAATAAAATGGATTAAAATAATATATGTATACTTGAAATTAAATGATCTTTTATTCAACAACAATTCCAGATAAATTGAAAAAATTATTTGGATGATTGAGATGAGGTGCAAAGTTTTTCGAGCCCGACCAGCTAATATTTGTTAAGAATATTTTAATCGTCCGTATCTGAGGCATTAACTGTCAAACATGCGTTTCTAACCTGACTTTTGTTATATCTCTTAGTCAACTCAATTAAAATTTCAATGTTTCTTGGCTGTTAATCATGCTTTAATATGCTTTTTTAAAAGTTAGTTCTAATTTGTTGGATGAATTTCTATACAATATTGAAAGCTTCAAGCTTTGCAGATATTTTACATACAAGCGTTTCTTGGCTTTCGAAGAAGTCTTAAGGGCTGAGGTTTGTTCATAGATATTTTTCATAGACTTCTGATATTTGTTAAAAAATATGTGATATGCATATATGTATTTTTATAATATATATATATATATATATGTATGTGTGTGTGTGTATGTGTGTGTGTTTGGGTGTGTGTGTTTTTGCATCTATGAAATTTCAAAAATTATTCAGACCATAAACAAAAGTGTGGCGTCGGTGAACGTAAGTAACCAGAGAAGGTAGGTTTACTTTATTTCATTTTTAAAAAAAAATGATGGAGCTAGGGTCATCAGGAGGTCAATATGCCCTCAGGGTTCATAGGCACGTTTGACTGCATGTGTACATTACGTATGTGAGCATGCATGTGTGCGTGTGTATGTATGTACGTGTGTATGTGTGCGTGTGTATGTATCTGGAAGTGTTTATGTATGTACGTGCGTGAACATCAACGAAAACATCAATATAATCTGACCCAAATAAAACGGGGTCACGCTAAGAACAAACGCCAGACAAGTGAGTTTGACGTTTAAAAGTTCACAGAAATTAACACTCCGTAGTTCAGAGGAATGAATGGCTGTAAAATTTAATGATGAATGGATGAGCGAATGGATGAATGGATGGGTGAATGAATGAACGAATAAATAAATGAATTAATGAATGAACAAATAAATAAATGAATGAATAAATGAATGAATAAATGAATGAATAAGGGAATAAGGGAATAAGTGAATGAATGAAAAAATGAATGAATGAATGAATGAATGAATGAATGAATGAATGAATGAACAAATGAATGAGCGTGCGTTGAATTACGTTAGAAACTTCATAGAAATTAACACCTCAGACCTCTGAGTGAGTGATATTACGTTATCGGTACCTTATCGTAACGTTGTTGTCACTATCACTTGCCACTGTTTGTTGTTAGAGTTGTTGTTTCTGTTGTTGTTTATGGGGGTATGGATAACGCTACGATGATGACGATGGTGATGATGATGACGACGACGATGATGATGATGAAGATGGTGATGATGACGACGACGACGATGATGAAAAGATGGAAGATAAGAAGGAAGAAAGGAATACTTGTGATGGCGAAGAAGATAAACAAACGATAGATAACAAGCCGACAAAGGCGCACAGCACGATCAGCAGAAGGTAAATTTTAGGATTTCAGGAAGTAATCATACGCACGCACGCACACACGCGCACACGAGCGCACACACATACTCACGCACGCAACACAACATATCCAAACACTATAATACACGTGTGCGCATATATATATATTTATATATATATATATATATATATGTGTGTGTGTGTGTGTGTGTGTGTATCACAGGTTTTGAATTTTCTGGTTCTGCCTTCATCAACATGACAACAGATGGTTAAACACGATCTTTGGTTCTCAAAACGGAAGTCGCGCATGTCACGTGATGTCGTTTGTTTATATTTATGTTTATATGGTTGGATTCAGATGTGTTGTGTTTGCGTGTGCGTGTGTGTGTGTGTGTGTGTGTGTGTGTGTGTGTGTGTGTGTGTGTGAGAGGAGTTTGTAGGTTATCTTTATTGAAACATCTAAGACCTTCTTTATCAATATTTTCTACAATTGATTGATTTGTTTGTTATTTCTACTTTATTCATTCCTTTGTTTATCAAAATTTATTATTTTTCCATCTATCCATCTACCATGTCATTCATTTTTCTATCCATCTATCATTCCATCCATCCGGTTATTTATCCATCTTTCCATCTTTGCATTCATCTAAAGCACATCGCATATTACGTGGTAAGAGATATACTAATTAATTACTGATCAGTGAATGAATGAATTAATGAATGAATTAATGAATGAATGAATGAACGAATGAATGAATGAATGAACGAAACGAAAAAATAAATGAATGACAGATGTTAAATCCGATTATATCGTATTAGGTGTGACGTTTTTTTGACGTCATCTTGATGTCAAAAAATAATAATAACAAAAAATAAAACAATAACAATTATATTTTTGTTAAATAATATATATATATATATATATATATATATATATTTATTTATTTATTTTAAATAATTTATTCAGCCAAACTTCTATACTATTTTTTACCACAGTTTGTGATTATAAAGATGATGATAGTGCTGATAATTATGACGACAATGATGACGATGATAATGATGATTAAGATGATGATGATGATAGTGATGATTAAGATGATGATGATTAAGATGATGATGATGATAATGATGATTAAGATGATGATGATGATAGCGATAAGATAAGAACCCAGATTACGAATGATTTGTGTGGATTTTCTGACAAATTATATGCAAGATCACATGAATGCTTGAGTGCTTCTGAAAATGGTGGTGGTGATGATGATGATGATGATGATGATGATGATGATGATGACGACGATGATGATGGCAGCCACAAATACAATATGAATGAACTTTTTATAAGGAAATCGTTCTGAGGAAAAAAATGTTAGAAAAACTACACACACATACATTGATATTTATACAAATACCACATACAGACATTTTTATACAAACACACACATACAAAAACAAAAATACATAGACATTTGTATCTATAACAGGCACACACACACACACATTTTTATACAAACACACACATACAAAACAAATATACATAGATATTTGTATCTATAACAGACACGCACGCACACTCACATACATACACACAGACAACCATGCCTTGATATATAAACAACTACAGCTACTACTACTACACACACACACACACACACAGA